TATAAATTTTAATATTTCATTCTATGCACCCAAATTTGTTCTATGGGTATTAATCATGTAATATTAATATTTTGGATGTTAGATATGTAAATAACATAAAATAAAGTGGTATTTATGTAAAACCCCAGATTAGAATGATTAATATAAATTATAAATTAAGTGGTTTAAATAAAAAAAAATCTTAGCCATATAATACAACTTCCAAAATATCATGGGTACAAATCCACATCAAATGATTTTCATAATCCACTAGCAATCCTCGCTCACCAATCTACGCGCCACTCTGCCTCCTGACCCGACCCATTTGGGCCCCACTCGGAAAACAGGGCAGCAGCACAACGTTTTCTAACCTCACATAGAGTCCGCCCCATTTTCTTATAAATCACGTCAAATTAGTACGGTCCACCCAACTCGATCTGTTCTCCTTCACCGTCCGCTTCGTCGCTCGATCTCTACGGATCTCAATCTCCGGCAATGGCAATCAACGGGACGGTGCCATCCTCCGGCCGACTCGCCTCCGTCTACAGTGATGTTCAGATAAGCCGCCTCAACCACCCCCTCCCTTTACCGGCCGTGCTCAAGTCTTCTTTTAAGATAGTCGACGGCCCGCCAAGCTCCGCCGCCGGGAGTCCAGGTTCGGCTGCTAACCTTTCGCATTTTTTGGAATCTCTTTGGAGCTGTTTACTTGTTTGTTGTGTCTTTTGAATATCCAATCGTGAATCTTGTGATTCCATTTTTATTTCGTTGCAGAGGAGATCGCGAAGCTTTTTCCCAGCCTTTTCGGCCAGCCATCGGCATCGTTGGTGCCGAACGGAGCTGATCCGACGGAGCTGGGTGAGAGTCTCAAGATCGGTGTTGTGCTTTCGGGAGGGCAGGCCCCGGGTGGGCATAATGTGATTTCTGGAATATTTGGTGAGCGAATATCCATCCATGTGTATTTTGTGATCATCTTTTGCTCTTCTTAGATGTGGGATGGTGATGAAATTCATTTTTCTAAATGTAAAATTGGGTTTGTTGTTTTGCTTTTAGATTACCTGCAGGATCGTGCTAAGGGGAGCACGCTCTATGGGTTCAGGGGCGGGCCGGCGGGTATCATGAAGTGTAAATATGTGGAGCTGACCCCGGAGTTTATCTATCCCTACCGAAATCAAGTAATTGATGTGCCTGTTCTCATTGGCCTTGTTTATCTTTTAAATCACGTTATTTAGGGTGCTCTTTCTTTGTTTGAAATCAATCTAACTGTTCTGAAGATTAGGTCTGGAACGGTCAACACCATTGTTTGCGCCTTGTTGCCCACTTTTGAGTTTCGTGCATTTTCGGTGTTGCTGCCCCTATAAATAATCTCTAGGAAGATTGTGATCAAATAGTGTTACGAGTCGAAGCTGCAATTTATAATTATTTATTTATTTCATCGGTTGATGCACATAGATTAAAGTTCATGATATTATTTTTTTAAATATCTTAATTTCAAGCCATATGGTAATTTTTACTGTCATTAGACTGATAAATTTGCTACAGTGTTATTATTTTTTTTAACATTTTCTTCATAACTTATTTATTAATATTATTTTTTATGACCTTTGTCATCATCTGTATAGCCCCCATCCCCCCGCCCCCCACTATATATTTTTTCCTTAGTTATGGATGTTTGTTCAAGAGATTTGCAAGAGGTTGTACCTTGTGTATGTTTTTTGCTGATGATATTCTTCTTGTTGATAAGACTAGGGAGGGAGTTGAATGAAAACTTAAATTATTGAGTTCAAGCTTGTGTTTAATGGTTTTTGTTTGAGTAGATCTAAAACCAAATACATGGAGTGTAATTTTAGTAGTAATAAATCTAGTGAGGGGATTGTGACTTCGGGCGATGAAGTCATTAAAAAGAGTGCGTGTTTTGTATATCTCGGTCTATTGCTCAAAGTGATGGTAAAATAGATGGAGATATTACTAGTAGAGTTCAAGTTGGATGATTGAAGTGGAGGAATGCATTGGGCCTGTTGTGTGATAGAAAAGTACCTTTCAAACTTAAGGGAAAATTCTATAAGATGGTGGTGCTTTCTAGCGTAGAATGCTAGCTTTTTAAAGAGAAGCATAAACTTAAATTTAGTGTTACAGTGATGACGATACTTAGGATGATGAGTGGCTTTACTCTTAGAGAGAATGCAAAACGAGTATGTACGTATAAATGTTGGAGTAGCTTTAATGGTAGATAAGATTAGAGAGAGTCATCTTAGATGCTTTGGTCAGATAAAACGCCGGCCTTTTGATGGTCCATTTAGGAGAGTAGATGTATTAGAGTTGGCTTATGTTAAGAAAGGTAGAGGTAGATCTAAAAGGACTTGATTAGAAAGTATTAGAAGTTACATATTTTTTATTAAATTTAAATAAAAATTTGACTCTTAACAATACATAATCAGAAAAAAAAGATTCATATAGCTGACCCCATATAATGGGATAAAGACTTAATATTGTTGTTGTTGACATCATCTATATATTCATTGGTTTACCTATGGCTAGTACATGGCAAGTTTTAAATTTAAAAATGAGAATTTGGTTTCAGATTTCTATTGAAACTATTGTGAATGACTTGTGTTAGAAAGTATGCTACATACTGATATTACGATCATTGCCTTTTAATAATTGATTGCCAAAACAATTCATATTTGAAGAAGGTGCATGTATGTAAAGTTTTAGTCCACGTTAGATGCTACTAAGTTTTGGAAGAAATTGTAATATGTTTTATGCTTAATGAAAATTTAAAGGCAATGATGTCAAATATTGGAGGGAAAACAGCTTCTACAAGAATTTACGAGCAGTAGTTTTTACAAGATTGATATTAGGGAAGCCAAACTTATTAGGCATACACAAGGTTTAAAATTGCGTAAATATGCCTCGAGGCATTTTTCGTCCGTGAGGCGAGGCATAAGCCTCGAGGCGGTATGGATGCAAAATTGTGTAAATGAGAATTTCAGGGTTTTAACAGGTAAATAATAGTAAGTTTCTATCATTGTTGAAAGATTTAAAATGATAAAAAAAATGGAAAGTACGAATGCTCCAACCACTAAAATTCTAAAAAAAAAAATTGAAACACAATATTTGAACATAAGATGTGAGATTTGTATCACTATTCCTCCACCATGGAACTTGCAGCCATGTTGAACTAGTGAAAACTAGATTGGAAAATTTTAAATATATGGCTAAGGAATATCAAATCAAATTATATGAAGAACATTATGCTTGTTTAGTGGATCTGCTTGGAAGAGAAGGTCATGTTTATGAAGCTTATAACGTTATATCTGAAATGCCATGAAACCAAATGCAGATACTCTTGAGACATTTTTTTTTAGTTGACAAAAGGTCCATGAGAGGACTGAACTAGCAAAATGGGCAAGGTATAATCTCTTAGCATGGAACCGAATTAACATATGAATTATAAGTCAATGTCTAAATATCTATGCATCTGCTCAGCTTTGGGAGGATGTAGCAAAGATAAGGTGTTGACTAATAAAACAAAAAGGCCTAATAGAATATAAAAAGGAAGTAAAACAAAAGCGTTATAAAGAGGTGATGGTATCTTGAATATGGAGCCTATGGTTGTAATCATAGTGCAGTTAATATAAAACTACTGACCCAACAAGCAAACAAAGGAAAAGGGTTAGAACTTATATTAACATAGTTTTCTATACAACAATCGGTAACGAGTGATCTTCTACAATTTTAATTTGAGAAGAGTTCTACAATCCAGAAAAAACTAGAAGCAACAATAAGCTTAATATTAAAAAAAATGGCACAAGTTTTAAAAGATAAAAAAAAGGAACGAATTTTATCATTTTAAGCTTCTTAGACTTGAAAATGTATTTGCTATTGAGAAGGATTATGTTGAATAAAAAAAAAAAGGAAGAAAAAAATATACATGAAACAAAAATAATAATATACAGCAAATCGAAGAGTTGCATCTCTTCACGCTCTCGAGCCTGCCCCACTTCATCAAACGACGTCGTTCTTCGATTTGGTAACGGTTATTCAGCGATGCATTCAATAAAAAGGAAAAGAGGATAAAGAGAGGAAGGAACACTTTCAATATCTCGAAAAAAAAAAATCCTACTGCCTGCAACTGCGCCTGGCATTCAAAGTTGATTTCGTATCCACGCCTTTCGTCTTCACACCGGCAAGCCAGCATCTACTCCGTCTTTCACTTGGAGTACGTCGGCTGAAATAGCCCGATCTCCCTTGCCGTCAAATACCAATCTGCTGCTTGTTTTGTGTCTTCACTACGTTTGCTGCTTTGCTCATACACAGTACCTGTCACCTTCACTGAGTGGGAACTGTTTTTCATAAACTATTTCAATTCGTACTAATCTGCCTCCAATTTCTCAAGTTTATTGGCCACTTCCATCTCCATTAGCATTTAAATAAGTATTTAAATGCCTTAAGGTGATGTATTCATAAGCAAATAGTACACTTGATCCCACTTTATTAAATATCTTCTTTGAATACAGAATTCAAATTACTACTCTATCTTGTTGAGAAAGCCAAACCCATCATATTCTTTTAAGCCTGATGTCAAACGTCTAATCCAATGTCAGTTAATCATTACTTTTTGTTATATATAAGCAAAGAAGAATTATCAAATGAGGACCTCGCACCGTCGACTTTAAGTCCGGTCGGGATGATTTCAAAGTGAAGACATCGCGTCGTCGATCTTAGATCCGGCCGAGATGGTTTCAAAGTGAAGACCTCGCACCGTCGACTTTAAGTTCGGTCGAGATGAATTCAAAGTGAAGACCTCGCGTCGTCGATCTTAGATCCGACCGAGATGGTTTTAAATTCAAGGCCTCGTGTCGTCGACCTTAGGTCCGACCGCGAAGAAAATATCGGCAAATGCCGTCCCGATTTCTTCCTCGGTGGGGAGATGACGCTGGGAGGCTGCCGAAAAATTCCTTGAATTATTGGACTTATGAAAATTAGAGAGCACTTAATCCACCGGTTGAATCAATCAATTAAATTGCATATACAACAAATTTTTATATAAATCAGATTTCTATTTTTTTAATTCAATTTCTCATGAATGAGCAAATCTGATTTCTAATATAAAAAAATTTTAATTGAAACATTACATAAAGGGAAAATTCTTTCACATTTGGACAACCTCCCTTACTCAAGTTAAAAAAAAAAAAAATCTTTCTGGTATGTGGAAAGTAAAATGACTTGAAAATAGAGCTTACTTATTGTTTGAAGTTGAAAGAGTTGCTCTCTTTGCCTTCTAAGCTAAAGAGTTTAAAATTATCCACAATGATTTTATACATATATTAAGGTTGTTGGAAAAACAACTCACATTTTTATGAAAAATTTTCTTTGCAATTTCATCTTTGTAGACATGTTGCAAGAAAAATAATATTTTCATTAATCTAATATATGCACAAGCTCTCCAACAATAAATTCAAACAAACTTTACAAACAACGAACTCTCCAA